AAGAAAGAAAGAAAGAAAGAAAGAAAGAAAGAAAGAAAGAAAGAAAGAAAGAAAGAAAGAAAGACAGACAGACAGACAGACATGGGGCTGGAGAGATGGCTCAGCAGTTAAGAGCACTGGCAGCTCTTCCAGACGACACTGGTTCAGTTCCCAGTACTCACATGGCAGCTCACAACTGTCTGTAACTCCAGTTCCAGGGCATCTGACAGCCTCACACAGGCAAAACATGTAGGCAAAACACCAATACACAGAAAAATAAATAAATCATCTTTAGAAAAGAAAAAAAAAAGAAATTAAAGACTTTATAGAAGTGAATGAAAGCGAAAAGACAACATATGCAAACTTATTGGACACAATGAAGCCGTTCGAAGAGGATAGTTCATAACACTAAGTGCCTACATAAAAAATATTGCAGCAATCTAATTCTACTAACTGAACAGCACCTGAAAGATCTAAAGCAAAAGGAAGAAATCACACCTAGGAACTACACAGCTAGAAATAAACTCAGGGCTTAAATCAATAAAATACAAACAAACAAACAAAAAGGAATCAATGGAAGAAAGAGTGGGTTCTTTGAGAAAAATCAGGAACATTGACAAAATCTGATCCAAATTAACTAAAAGTCAAGGAAAGAATATCCAAATTAACAACACTAGATATGAAAGGGCAGACATAACAACAGACACCAAAGAAATCCAGAAAATCATAAGGACATACTAAAAACCTGTACTCCACCGAATTGAAAAGGGTAAAAGAAATTAATCATTTTCTCAATACATACCACTTACCAAAGTTATATCAAGATCAGATTCAAGTTTAAACAGACCTATAATCCCTAGCGAAATAGTTGTGTTTTATGAGGTCACAGTTACCCTGATACCCAAACCACATAAAGACCCAACAAAGAATTATAGACCAATTTATCTTATGAACACAGATGCATAATACTCAATAAAATACCTACACACTAAATCCAAAAACACACACACACAAAAAAAGAAAAAGAAAGAAAGAAAAAAATTATTTACCATGATCAAGTAGGCTTCACCCCAGGGATGCCATGATGGTTCAATACATGTAAATCAATAAATATAATCTATCATATAAACAAACTAAAAGGCCAAAAGCACATAATCATCTCATTAGATGCAGAAAAAGCCTTTGACAAAATCCACCAACCCTGTATGGTAAGAGTCCTGGAGAGATTAGGTATGCAAGGAACATCCCTCAGCATAATGAAGGTAGTTTACAGCAAGCCCATAGCAAATGTTTTAGTCAGTGTTTCTATTGCTGCAACAAAACACCATAACCAAAAACCAAGTTGGGAAGAAAAGGACTTATTTGGCTTACACTTCCACATTGCTCTTCATCACCAAAGAAAGTCAGGGCAGGAATTCAAACAGGGCAGGAATCTGGAGGTAGGATCTGATGCAGAGGCCATAGAGGGGTGCTGCTTACTGGCCTGCATCCCCTGGCTTGCTCAGCCTACTTTCTTATAGAACCCAGGGCCACCAGCCCAGGAACAGCACCACCCACAATGGGTTGGGCCCTCCCACATTGATCACTAATTGAGAAAATGCCTTACAGCTGAATTTCATGGAAGCATTTTCTCAACAGAGGCTTCTTCCTCTCTGAGGACTCTAGCTTATAATAAATTGACACCAAACCAGCCAGTACAGCCAGCATCAACTTAAATGGAGAAAAACCCAAAGCAATTCCACTAAAATCAGGAACAAGACAAGGCTGTCCACAAAGTTTTCCATATTCTTCAATACAATACTTGAAGTCTTGTCTAGAGCAATAAGACAACTGAAAGCAATCAAGGAGATACAAACTAGAAATGAAGAAGTTAAAGTATCTTTATTTGTAGATGATAATGATAATATATATAAATGACACTAATAAATTCCACTGGGAAGCTTCCATAGCTGACAAATACTTTCAGCAAAGTATCTGAATACAAAATTAGCTCACAAAAGTCAGTTAGTCCTCCTATACAAATGACAGACTAAGAAATCAGGGAAACAACACCTTTCAAAAAAGCCTCAAGTAATACAAAATAACATGGTCTAATAAAAGACTTGTATGATAAAAAAAAAAAAAAAAACAACTTTAACATATTGAAGAAAGAAATTTAAGAGCATATCAGAAGATGGAAAGATATTCCATGCTTTTGGAGTAGTAGAATTAAGGGAGTAAAAATGACCGTCCTATCAAAAGCAGTCTACGAATTCAATGTAATTTTCATCAAAATTTCAACTTCCTGTGGAAACACACACATACACAAAAACATAGCTATAAATATGTCTGAGTAATAAAAGAACTGTTGGAGGTATCACTATTCCCAGTTTCAAGCTGTACTACAGACCCATTGTAATGAAAATGCATGGTACTGGCATAAAAACAGGCATGTCAATAAACAGAACTGAACTGAAGACCCAGACATAAATCTACACACCTACAGACACCTAATTTTTCATAAAGAACCCAAAAATAAACACTAGAAAAAAGACAGTATCTTCAACAAATGTTCTGGTCAAACTGGATGGCTACATGTAGAAGAATCCACATAGATCCATACTTTAGCACCCTGCACAAAACTCAACTCCAGTTGGATCACAGACTTTGACATAAAACTAGATTCACTGAACCCAACAGAAGAGACAGTGGGGAATAGCCTCAAACTCATTAGCACAGAAAAAGCCTTTCTGAACAAAACACTGTTAGCAAAGCCAGTGAGGACAACAATAAATGCGACCCCCTGAAACTAAAAAGCTTCTGTATAGCAAAGTATACCTGCAAAAAGATTTTTACCAACTATATATCCAATAGAGGGCTAATATCCAAAATATATAAAGAATTCAAAAAACTATGTATCAAGAAAACAAATAACCCATTTGACAATGGTGGTACATACACCTTTAATCCCAGCATTCAGAAGGTAGGTAGATCTCTGTTAGAGGCCAGCCTGGTCTACAGCGCAAGTTTCAGGATAGCCAGGGCTACACAAAGAAACTTTGGCTCCAAAAAAAAAAAAAAAAAAGGAAGGAAGGAAAGAACCCAATTTTTAAAAAATGGTACAGATCTAAACAGTGAATTCTCAAAAGGAAACTCAAATGGCTAAGAAACACATAAAGAAATGTTCAATATCCTTAGTTCATCAGAGAAATACAAATCATAAGTACTTTGTGATTCCATCTTACACCTGTTACAATGGCTAAAATCAATTACTCAAGAGGCAGCAATGCTGGTGAGGACGTAGCATAAAGGGAACATCTATCCGTTGCTGGTATGAGTGCAAACTTGTACAGTCACTATGACAATCAATAAGAGTTGTGGTTCCTCAGAAAGATGGGTATCAATCTACCTCAAGATTCAGGTATACCCCTCTCTAGCATATTCCCAAAAAATGCTTCATTTACCACAGATTCACTTGCTCAATCATGCCATTGCTTCTCTATTCATAATAGCCAGAAATTTGAAAACCTAGACGCCCCTCAACAAAAGAACAGAGGAAAAAAAAAAATGTGGTACACAATGGAATTTTAATCAGCCATTTTAAAAGATGACATGATGAAATTCACAAATAAATGAATAAAACTATTTTCAAAAAGTACCCAGAGTGAGGTATCCCAGACCCAGAAACACAAATATGTGTTCACTTGTAAGTAGATAATAGGTGTTAAATCAATGATGATCAAGCTATAATCCATTTAATGAATTCCCTGCACACCAGAGTCACAGCAGGGACATTATCCTGCAAACCAGCATCACAACAGAGGACATATCCCTAAGAACCCAATTGGGCCCCAGGACAACAGGGGCTGAAGATACAGGTGGAAAGGAGGTCTGATGGTGAAGCCACCCAACCCTTTTCTGACATCCTGTAATCCCAGGGCTTCGGGAGCACCACAACATGCTATCTTACAAGCTGCAAAGAGGATATACCTGGTTGAATTACACAGATGACAACTGAACCCCAGAAATGAGACAACACCCAGTAACAGTAAGAAGAGCTACCTGGGGAGAAAGCTTGACAAAGGCAACTTGGGAACGTAGGTGGATTCTGTGGCCCCCCCAGAACAGCATGACAACCTCATCTGTGGTTCTGAAAACCAGACAGGTTTCCAGGAGGCAGCATGGCCAGAAAGGCACAAAAGGACTATGAAGACGTAGCCTGCTTATTCTGTTCCCACCTAGATGACAACTCTAGGGATATTTAGCTACTGAAAACGCACAGAGCTGTGATCTGAGGACTTGACTACCTCCCAACACAGGGACAACATGTTGGCACTGGCATTTTACACCATGTCCTCCAAGGAGCCTACTGTGGTCTGAATGCAAAACACATCTACAGGCACTGAGTTGGGAGCCTGCGGAAACCTTCCGAAGTGAGGGGTCACTGGGGGAGTTGGTCTTGAGATGTAGCCTGACTCTACTGCCTGTCCTGTCGCTGCTTCCTGCACTGTGGAAGTGTGTGGTGGAAAGGGGTGACAGCTATACAGTGCCACCCAACAGAGCCTCCTCTCACCAGCCATGTACTGTCCTTATACCATGAGCAAAACAAAAGGGAGAACCTGCTGAACAGAGGAATGAAGACACAGAAAACCAGAAGGAGGGGTGTGGACAAGCGAGAGGGAACATGGGAAGGATGGCCAAGGGCAGAAACGGGTCCCCACTACCATCAAGGAGATGGAAAAGACAACAACCACACCCCAACCCACACCCAAGACTCCCTGGAAAGAAAAAGCTGTGAATTCACTCACCCTGATCAGACAGGAAGTCCAGCATGGTCTGCAAAAGGAAGGACAGGTGGCGCACAGACAGCGCAGGGTTCCCCATCCTTCGGGAGGCATAGACCAGCTCATGCAGCAGGCGCATCTGGACAGCAGCCCAGCCTCGGTGTGTGCCTGTGGTCAGGGTCATAAAGCAGGTAGTCAAGGTCATGTGTGAAATGTGGCAGCTCGCAGACACTGACCTCAGTGACCGAACTCAAACAGCAGCCAAAACAATCACCATCACCCCACTGCTACCACCACCACCCCACCGCCCCCCAACATTGCCATCCCGGGTATAGTGTTGCCAGAGATGAACACGGTTCATGCATTAAGAACGTCTCCACCTGGGGACAGAGCTCAGTGGTAGGCCACTTGCTTAAGATGGGCAAGGTCCCAGGATCCAGCCCCACTATAAAGAAAAATAAAACAAACTGCCTTATGCTACACTGTCTGTCTTCTGTGAAGACATGACTTCAAAGCATCCCACTAAAATAACCCTGATAAGCTTCCAGGAAAAAATTTGTTTCCAGAGCATTTGAGTAATGGAGTGACATTTTCTAAATAAGTGATGACCCTGGATGAACCCTCATGATCAACGATCAAGGAGATTACTCTGAAGCACAGAAGTGCAGAGTTAAATAGAGAGGTCACCCAGGGACTTGAAGGGCCCTCCTTCCCAAACAGCCCAGCACATCTGAAAGTAAAGGTAGGAAGACAGGTTACATAGCCTGCTTCAAAGCGTTTCCTTAAGAATGCAGAATCTTTAGGATTCGGGCTCCTTTTGGCAACAATTACTGGCAACAGAGTTTTCCACCCTAAAACCTTTTTTTTTTTTTTTAATGTATACAATGTTCTGTCTGCATGTACACCTACACACCAGAAGAGGACACCATATCTCATATGGATGGTGTGAGCAACCATGTGGTTGCTGGGAATTGAACTCAGGACCTTTGGGAGAGCAGACAGTGCTCTCAACTGCTAAGCCATCTCTCCAGCCCGCTCTTCTCCACTCCCAACCCCCACCACAAAACCTTTTAGAAAGGAGATGTGGACACAGGGGTCCCTCGCAATGTCTTGGGACTCAAGGGGGACACAGGAAAGCTGAGGAAAAGGACTTTAAGCCGAGTCTGACTTGTTGCAGGTCTGCCATAGGTTACTTCATTTAGTATTTTCCAATCCCATCCATTTTTCTTGCAAATGACACAACTATTATTCTCTCTGGCTGAATAGAACTCCACTGTGTTCTCCACCTTTTCACTACTAATCGGGTGATGTCTAAGCTGCTCTATTTCCTTGAATATTGTGGATAGAGCAGCAGTAAGCACAGGTGTGCCGATAACTGTGTGGTAACTGCAGTTATGTGTGGTAAAATATTTCACGTATATGCCAGGAGCGACAGCTCTGGGTTATATGGTAGTCCTGCTTGTAATGTTTTGAGAATCCCACACACACTGATTTCCATAGCAGATGCACCAATGTATATCCCTACCAAAGGGTTCCTTTTCCCCACCCCTTCCCCAGCATCTGCTGTCATTTGTTGCCTTTCCTGCGTAGCGTGAGACGGAGTAGCAGAGCCATTTGGACTTGTATTGCCCTCTGAATATGTATGTTGAACACTTCTCAAAATGTTTATTGGCCGTTTGTGTTCCTTCTAACAACCCTGCTCAGGTGTCAGCCCATTTTCTGATTGGCTGTTTGGGTTTGCTGTTTAATTTTTGAAGTGCCTTGTACATTTCAGATCTTAACTTCTGGCAAAGGTTTTCTCCCATTCTGTAGAGTTTCTGTTCACCCTGCTGACAGTTTTGTTTGCTATGCAGAAGCCTTTTAACTTCACGCTATCCATTTTGCTAACTCTTGGAATAGCTCCCTTTGAGTTGGGGTTCTAGTCACAAAGTTCTTGCTTATACCAATATCTTAACATATTTTCCTATGTTTTCTTCTAGCAATTTCATGCTTTGAGGTGTTTGATCCGCTATGAATTAGTTTCTGTGCAGGATGAGAAAAGCAGCTCTGACCTTATTCTCCTGCAGGTGGCTATCAAGTCTTTCCAGCATGGTTTGTTGAGTGGGCTTTTTTTCACTGTAGGTGTTTGACACCTTTGTCAAAAATCAGATGCCCATGGCTGTGTAGGTTTGTTTCTGGGTCCTTTAATATGCTCCCTCAGTCTACACATCCGTGTTTGTGCAGTACCATGCTGCCTTTGTCGCTATGGCTCTGTAGTAGAGTTTGAACTTGGACTTAGTGATGCCAGTGTCCTTTTTACTTCGGATCACTTTAGCTATCTTTTCTGCTTCTCTATGAATGCTAATTTTTTTCTTAGTCCTATAAAGAATGCCATTGCAATATTTGATGGAAATAGCACTGGACCTATAGAGGCTTTAATGTATAGACTGCACTTGCCCTCTGTACCCCAATGTGATTTCAACACCTAAAAGAAGATCAGGTACTCTGTGCCTTCACATTCCTACCCAACCATCAACCAGACTGGTGAGTCCCTGCTAAGCCACACATAGGTAGATTCAGACTCAGACAAAACTGAGGCTTCCCGGAAACCTCCAACAGCTCACGAGATTTTCAGTTAACACACACTTTCTGAGAACCTAACGCATGACCACATGAAAGAGTGTTGGGGGACAGTGGGGTATACAGTATATGTGGACAAGCCCATCGGAGGAACAGACGCTGCTCACTGTCTGTGGAGAAGCCCGTGGGAGGCACAGAGGCTCTGAGTGCTGTGAGGACAGTGGATGGGGAGTGAATGTGCCACATGAGCTGGGACAGGCAGGGGAGGAAGTCGCAACAGGGAAATAATAGCCCTAACTTGTCACAAAACTGCGAGCAGCCCATTTAAAGTGCTTTAGCCATTTATCCTAACTTCTCAATAAATGCTAGCTGGCTGATAAATGCTAATATTATGACTCAATGAATGTAATGTGTTTAACACCCAGCTTCAGCCTCTGACTCCGTGGAGTGATTAATGATCCAGGCTGCTCCATTACTGCATCGAGAACAAACCCTTGATATCCCAGACTTCTACTGCTGTGGTTATTGGGTGAAATTACCTTCTTGTATGTCAACCCCTGCCCCCACACCTACTCTTGCATCATGAGCCCCTGCACCTGAAGACTGTCTGGTGCTCAGAGCAAAGGTTTGTACAGAATCAGGCAGCAGTCAATGTCAACTGACAAGTAGAGCAAGAAAGACACTGCCTCCACTACTTGGGGAGCATGAGCCTTGAGCATCTTAGCCTCTGCTGGCTTGCCGAAGATGTTCTGTGCAACTCATGGCCCCTGCTGACCTCGTCTCCCACCACCTTGCCCTGAGCAGCCGGCCATTCCCTTTTCTGTGTGTGCTCAGCAGCAGGCACAGACTTCAGCTGATAACAGGCACAGTGGGGCCCCTGTAAGCTCATGATTCTGTTTCCTCTGTCAATTCCTCATTGCCTTGGCAGCAGCAATGTGTCTTATTCATCCAAGGTTCCTTAATGCCTGGCAAGAGGCCTGGTTCCTGGTGGGTGCTTAACTAACAGGTGGGTCAAGATGAGAGCCTGATGCCAGAAAAATCCCCTTCTGTTTTAGATGTGCATATGCAAGTGTGTGAGGATAAAATGGCATAGCTCCAGGAATTTGCTGGGTGATGGGTTCACCTCTGCTGCTTTATTTTTTCTAGTTCTTATATATTTAGGATACTTCATAATAACATATCAATTAAAAACCTGGAAGCCGACTCAACACACACAAACACCTCCACAGTACATCCCCAGGATGTGACATATCTTCCAGAAACTTCCTGGAATAGACAGTGGTGGCAACATATTGCAAGCCTAAGAGTGACTGAGACACATCTATGCCATGTTTCCATCTGGTCAGAGGGGCTAGGACCAAACACTACAACGGAAGAAGATTTTAGGAGGATTGAGGGCCCAAGCCATCACTAAGCCAGCCACACCTTCAAAATTCACCAGTTCTCATTCATCTCAGCACTACCAAACCAAGAGCTCCTTCTCATGTTGGAAATCCCTGACATCACTTGGTAAGTTTTCCAAATGGGGAAAGGTCCAGTTACACCTTTCTGGACAGGTGCATGGAGAACATGGTGCCTCCTCTGTGGCCCAGAGCCCTCCCATAAAACACCGAAGCTTTTCATAAAGACTGATTTGCAGCATTTGACTCGTAACAAAACTCTCTGTGATTTTGTCATTTAAGTTCAACAACCCAGGCTTTGACAGCTGCCATTCAGCAAATCGATTCTGTGTTTTCAGAAAAGTTCCTCAGCAACATTTAATCTCTCATCCAGGAAAAGGCTGAGCAGAAAGCAAGATGGAGAAATCTTCTCACACAGCAGCACAGGTAAGATTAAGATAGAGGATGTGGTCCTGTAAGGCAGCAAATTCAAGAGCGCATGAGCTGGGTCTTAACTCAGGCCTCTGCAGCCACCTCACAATAACACAGAAGACACTTCTAAGCTGAGAGATCTGACAACCTCACCTTTATTCACAAGTATGGGGTTTTGGGTAGATTTCCATTTAATTCTCTGAGAAATGTTTAAAGCGGAGAGAGAGCTCAGAGTGGTTTTCATTGTCTAGAGATGCAGCTGACTGATGTTTACCATTTTAACTCGAGTGGACCTCACTTCTTTCATGAAATAATGGCAAATGTCCCCTCCCAAAACAAAAGCCCAAGTAAAAAGGACAGGATCACTTGAATTTTTCAAAAGAAATATGTTCCACTCTGCAGAATTGCAAACAACGAGCAAGGAACAAATTCAATAACCGGCCACAGGCACTGTGATGACTGCTCGCTGGGTCTAGCAGGTTCACATGGGCGCCTCCAGCAGGGAGGAAAAGACAAAGGGGTTGGCACTGTGGGGCTGGCAGAGGGAGTGTTGAGTAATCATCCAGATTGTTTTTAAGTGTACTTACAAAATCACAAGAAGTGCAAGAGGAGGAACAGCAGGCAATCAGAGAACAGAGAAACAAAGGAATTCTGTGTAGGTGGAAGAAACATTGAATTATCGGATGAAACAGCCACCAGACAAGTGGCCTGGCAGGTGAGGAGAAGAGCTGTGCATCCCTGGGAAAAGGAAGAGCTACCACGAGACCTCAGACTGGTTTGTTCTCAGCTAGGCCCTGTACAGAAAGACAAACTTAAGATAACTCTGAGTATGGCTTTGCACAAAGTCCGAGCGCTTTTGGCCTGAAGCCAGCCTGGAGTAAAGTTCAGAGATGCCACGGGTAAGAACAGAAAAGCCATTTCAGTCTCACCTGGGGTCCCCTGAAAGTACATCAAATGAAGTACTCGCTCATGGGGCACATCCCAACATCTTAAAAATCACCTCCTCACCTCCCTAAAGGGATCATTGGTGCTCCAAAAACTCTCCTTCCTCTCTTTCCAGGTTCTATCCTTAGCCCATCAGACCCTTCCAGCATACAGCAAAATCAGCCTGGACACTTAGCAACCCCTTTCTCGAACTAGAGGACCTTTTCTTTTCTCTTCTGCAAGTACCTCTAAACCTTTGACAATCAGACGCCTCTACCTTCATCTCCAATCAACACCATCAAGCCCACAGTGGGGGGCCACACCTGTAATGGACTTCTGCTCAGCAGGGATGCTGGCCTTAAAGGCTCTCAATACTCAGTACATCTTCTTATATCCCTTTCATGCCATCCTTGGGAAAGGTCAGAAAACCTCACCCAACAGTAACAACATGCAGAGCACTGTCCTCAGCACCCTACAGGGGGGAATCCAATTCTTCCATAAGCTGGTGTCTCCAAGATTCTGATACACAGAGGGCATGAGGTAGCTTGGCCAAGGTCACACTGTAATGGCAGTGTCCAGGGACTTCCGTCCCTTCCCACATACGGTGCTTACAGTTTCTCCCACTGAACTGTTGGAAACAGGTTAGTCCGGTCAAAGTATTACCAAGAGGCCACAGCCTGCCTTGATGTGGGTCAGAGAGGTGCTGTGAGCATGTGTGCCCACAGGCATGAGGCCTAGCAAGGCTAGGGATGGGGCAGACTCACTCAGCCCTGAAGTGGGCAGAAGCCAGGCAAGCATAGCCCAGAGGCCCTGTGCAGGCCATCACTGGATATGGCAGCTGCTCTGAATACCACAGAAAGAACAGGAAACAGCACTTTTCAATGCGAAAACTACTTTTCTGTAATACCCAAAAGGGGTAATTTTTTTTTTTAATAAGTAAGAAAATCCCTGACTGCTATACTTACTACAAAGCTACAGTAACTAAGGCAGTGTGGTCTTGGCAAATGGACAAACGAAACAATTGATAGAATGGAAAAAGAGAATGCAGAAATACTCCCACATAAGTACAGTCGCTGCAGCTCTGACAAAGGAGTGTTGGTACCCAGCAGAGCAAAGATGGGACTCCCAGCAGACCAGCCACGGACAGAGGACAGCCACCAACCAGGCAGTAAATCAAGCTGCTAACTGCAGATTTCACAAATAGTACACCAAAAGGGACCTCTGATAAAACGAAAACCTCCCTAGGAGGTTCTACGTGTTTACAGAACTTCTTTGGGTTCTGTGAAACTTTCCCCGACAAGCTGATAAATGAAAAAATATAGGTAACATTTGTTACAGTAACAGATTTTTAGATACAGCTCCAAAGTCACCATCCTTGAGAGAAAGAGCTGACAGAGTAGGCGCCATTAAAATTGAAAAGTGCTGTTTTGCAGATAAGATACTGAGAGAATGAGAAAACAAGAGGCATGCTGGGAGAAAATATTTGTCAGAGATAGCACCGAAGCACTGTTATGCATATCATAGAAGCCAAAAACAAAGACCCTGGTTTTCCAATGGGATCGCCAGAGACGACATTCCAACAGCAGATAAGCATAGGAAGAGATGTACAATGTACTCGCTAGATACCTGAAAGCCAAGGGACAGGAGCCAGCAAGATGGCTCAGCAGGCAAAGCATTTGCCATGAAGCCTGATGACCTGAGTTCCAGCTCTGAAACCCATGTGGCAGGAGAGAAACCACTCCTACAAGTTGCCCTCTGACCCCCACATTCACACCATAGTGTTCACATGCACATAATGAATGAATTAATTAATTAAAAAAATACTTTTTTTAAATCTCAGCACTCGAAGAAGCAGAGGTAGGCAGAAATACCCAAAAAGGGTAATTTTTTTTTTTTAATAAATAAGAAAATCCCTGACTGCCATACTTATTATAAAGCTACAGTAACTAAGGCAGTGTGGTCTTGGCAAATGGACAAACGAAACAATTGATAGAATGGAAAAAGAGAATGCAGAAATACTCCCACATAAGTACAGTCGCTGCAGCTCTGACAAAGGAGTGCTGGTACCCAGCAGAGCAAAGATGGGACTCCCAGCAGACCAGCCACGGACAGAGGACAGCCACCAGCCACCAACAAAAACAAAACAAAATTAAAAAAAAAATAATAATATATATATATGGGTTTTTTTTTTAAGTCAAGGACAACATGTACTTTAAAGTGACACCATACAACAGGTGTGGTTGTTTGAGGACTGAAAGTTCTAGGCTACCCTGGGCTAGTGAGTTCAAGGCCAGCCTGAGGTACATCATGAGACCTTGTCTCAAAAAAAGTTAAATAAACAAAAGACACTGTCTGGAGTGAATCACAGTCATTGACGGTACTGAACGCAGACAAATGTCAAGGTCCATGTTTGAGGTTCTTTTTTAAATAGCCCTCAGTGAGGGTGCAGGATGGAGGAGATCTGGCTAGCAAAGTCATGGGAGAGACAAGGTCTTCTGTGAGCCTAACATAAAAAGACAATACCGGCAGGTCACGTGAACGGAAACAAAATCTCAGGGTTGCTATGTTCCCGTGGGACTTTGCTGGAAGTAGGGTGGCTGGAGGGGGCAGTTCCTCCCTCCATACGGCTGCTCTAAGCCGGAGCATGGGTGTCCCATCTGACCACCAAGTAACCCCTCACACAGGCCAGTCTCTCCTGAGCAGGCCATGGTCCCAGACTTCCTCCCTCTCTTTACCAATCTGAAGAGCCCCTTGTCCAGCTGGGCCACAGCCTCTTTTCTCATCCAACCCTGGAACCCTGCTTACCTACTGGGAACCACCTTCTCTGCTCAGCAATAAAGACATCTTGACACCACCTTGAAGGACTGTACTGGGACAATGATGGAAGGGACTCTATCTGAACCAGGACTGCTTAATGATACAGACTTCTGGCCCCAATTCTTCCTCTCTATTTAAGGCCCATTTTCCATTTACCAGAAAATGGACTTGGGGTCACTGGGCCCCAATCTGCTTCTTTTTTTAAGGTGGTTTAAGAATAAAACCCATGTCTGTGCTTGCCTCAGAGACTAGAAGGGCTGTCCTCTCAAAATGATTAGTTCTTAGTGTGTGTTCTGTCAAGGTTTTGTCACCTGGCCTACCCACCACATACTCTTTATTTTGGGGAGGGAGAGGTAGGGGGGGAACTCAGGCGTGGACTGTTTTGCTTGTTTTGCCACAGGATCTCACTCCATATCCCAGACTGGCCTCAAACGTATGCCCGTCCTTCCACATTGGCCCCCTCAAGGGCTGGGATTTTCCGTCACGTCTGCTACACCTACCCCTACCATCTACACTTGTCCATGGAGTCCTACTGACTTGTGTGTGACCTGTACTGCTTTCACACAACACCAGACAACAGAAACTCTGACCTACTGAGCTCTGGAAGGCTTACCAACCTGCCCTGCACAGAACAGCGTGTCTCACCTCTCAGCCAAGCGACTCCCTTCTACAGATTCTGGTCTGGAGGTGTCAATGTGAAGCATGCTGCTTGGAAGGTTGGGTGCTATGGAGTCTGGGGAGGAAGACATCTGAGTACTATTCGGGTGACAGGGGAGGAACTTGATACGTGACTAAGAGGGGGAGCACTGGGGATCTATTTGCATCCTAGAAAGATAACAGAGGATGACTCAGTTCTCTCCTACTGAAATCCCACACCATCTCTAGCTCTGGTTCCCCATCTAAAGAGAAGGATTTGTCTCTAACTAATTAGACTTTAACCAATATGTGCATTGTGTTTGTTTGTAGTTATTAGACTTACCACTATAATTTAATATTTGTTACTATTACATAATCAGAATCTGGCACAAATGCATAGCTGTGTCTACACACACATCCAAGTATATTTATTTTGGGAAGGTGCTAACCTAACAAAATTTCATAAGGTGAGTAAAAACATTAGGGACTTAACGCATTATTTTGGTGACAGACGACGGTGGTAGTGGCCTCAAGGGCAGTTTCTGACCCCAGAAACTGAGATGCAAGATCAAGGGCCACAAAATGGGCTCCAGGACTTCCTGCCCTTACACCGCTGTTAGGAGTGGCTGGTGTCAAGCAGGGCTTGGCCATCTTTGAACCACAGGTCTCCACCATGGTCTGCAATACTCAGCAGATGCTTAAGTGCTCAAGATGAACAGAAATAAAGCAACTTCCTCCCCAGCCCCAGCTCACTACGAATACCTTTGTTGAAGTCCTTGGGGTCTAGTGACAGACTGTAGCCAGGCAGCGTCTCCAAAAGGAGCTTGTAACAGGCCCTCCAGCCAGGCTCTGCGATGCTCGGGGCCACACACTGCATGGCAGCCACCCGCTTGAAGAATGCGGACTTTCGATGGAAGCCAATCAGCTCGTAGAGCTCAGACAGGATGCTGTAGCGCTGGATTTTCTCTTCTTCAGAAAGCTAAAGCATAGAGGGAAAGCAAGAAGTGTTTGAAGAAACTTCCAAAGGAAAAACAGAAATGCACCTAGAACCTCTTTCCATAAGGAAAAGAGAAAGGGCCTGGCCGCTGACACAACAATCCTGAGGCCCTGGGGGACCCCTGTGAATAACCCAAGATCTTTTATGAGTGGTGGCTCCAAGCACATCCAGCCTTTTGCTAAGAAGTCCTAGATCCTCTTGCATGCGGGGGTTACCACACAACACATGAGGCATCCTTCATAAAAAGGAACCAGAGTCCATCAGGACAAGAGGATTGGGGAAGGGACTTTGCTCAGCTTCTTAGAATGTAACATGTGGAGGAACATGACTAGACAATGATGACCAAACCACCTACTCAGACTTAAGACTTCCTGTCTTATAGCATGTTTGGTTCTGCCAAGGCCTAGTGGATTCTCCCAATGGTGATAGGGCAAGAACAGCTCTGGTGGAAAAGCACCCACTATATGTCCACAAACCACAGGCTGTATTTAATCAGCCTGCATTCCAGAACTTGACCCACTCCATTGTAGACAAGGTGTTGTAAAGCAGTTTCCTCCAAGATGGAAACACCCCATGCTGTAAGTAAGCTTTAAGGTAGAAGGCAAACAATTCAAAACAGCTTCAGGAAGTCCCTGAAACTGACCAGACTCACTAGGCCCCTCCCAGCTAGAGAAAACAATAAAGCTGCTGAGAGTCACCCTCAGACAAGGTACAAAAAAGACTCGAACCGCCCAGCTGCCTGGGATAAGTCACTTGGACTCTCCAACCTATTGAGCTAAATGCAGGCTCTGCACTGTGCTCCAGATTCCCAGCTTTTGTGAGCTGTCACCCATGCTGGTGACGTAGCTGTCTTTGAGTTATTTCTGCTCCTGTAATTAACCCCTCACCCATATTCCTAAGAAACCCCAGGAAAACTCACTGATTCACCAAGTTGGACTTTGGCTGTATCTGTACTTTGATCCTCTGACAGTTTCATATTGGGGGTGAGTAGGTGTATGCTGTGCATCTCCCCAAGAGAAGTTCTGTCACACAACACATGGATGCCTGAAGCTCTGAGAGACACTGAGAAACCCCAAAAGCCACACAGCCAGGAAGATCTGATGGCGAGCCAGGGCTCTGCCAATTGTCCATTCCTCATGTCACTACAACTTTGGGAAGAAAAACTACCTTAATCCACACAGCTCTCTTGGGAAGTGGTTCCCCCTCTAGCCATGGCCCTGACAGTGGGTTTCTAGATCTTTCCGTGCCAACAAAACCATTATAAGAAAGCTCTGACGACCGGCCCTCTTGAACCCCTCCTCCTGATGCCTCCAGGCCTTAGTCCTGCCCAGACACTTACTACACTACCCAGAGGGGCACCAAGGGGCCTCTGTAAGGTTTCCTCTGCCTTCCATAAGCTGTCCACACTTCCCACCATACTAGCATTCCTTAGTCAGAGCTCAGAGACATCACCCTGCAAAAGACCCTCTAAGAGACGATCAGGTCTGCAGACCTTATGAATGGAACTGGGACCCTCATGGATGAGGCCTGCCTTGGGAGACACCTGTGCCCTGGCAGCAACCCTCACCAAACCCCAAACCCCAGTGTTGCTGGCCTTGGAAGATAAGCTTATGCTGTCCAGAACCCCCAGGGCCAGGGATGGCCACGTGTGAACGGCTCAGGAACCCCACAGTACACAACACAGCCCACGCGCCTCACAGTCATGCCAGGTCTCCGTGGCAGTCCTGGCCACACCCAATCAGAGAAAGCAAGGTCATTCCCATTTCTTCACTTGCTGCCCCCCACCGCACCCATGGGGAGACCACAGGGAATGCAGGAAACAGGGGACCCTCCCTTGGAGCCTGTGCACTTACAACAGACAGACTCCCCAGCTTAAAACCCATGGGGGAGATTCCAGCAAGCAGAAAAGCAGAGAAACAAGATAAGGACTGCACGGGTGGCGAATACTTCAGATAAGGGTGTGAAAGCCCTGGGCAAACGCAGGGCTCCCCAGCTACACGCATCTCCTAGAGGCTATCCTAATGATAGGATCTCATGAGTAACCTTTAGCCGTGCGCCCCCTCACCCACCCAGGTCATTCCTCTCTCCTGCACTGTTCACACAGAGCTTCGTCCCCCTGCCCTGGGGCGGCCAGACTGGCTGCATCAGTTACTCCTCACTGCGTCACGTGCTCCCGGCTGCTTGATGTTAGGGGCTTTGGGCTTTTGCCATTCTGGCTGGGTTTGCTTTGCATTCCACCTGGTAGCCAGGGGCTGAGCACCCCTCCCTATGATTACCAGCCACACTTGTATCTTTTTGTGAGGTATTTGTTCAAAGCTTCTGGCAGTTTTTTAAATTAGATCGTTCATCTTGCTGTGGAACTGGGCTCATTCTTCAGGTTCCAAACCTAAGTCCTTAGTCATCCATGTTTGGAGAATGTTTTCTCCCAGTTTGACACCAGTTTTCTTTTCTTTTCCCCTGAGATAATGGTCTGATACGCATGCGCACTTCATGTGACAATTCTTTTTCTCTTGGTTCGTGTTCTCTGGATCCTAGCTCTAAGAAACCTTAGGTCTCAATGCTACTCTGAAGGCTTCTAGAAGCGACCAGGTCTATGACATGTGGACACTCAAACCTGCACAGCATGAAGCCTTGCTTCAGGAGGACTCTTGTGTGACAGTGTCAGCCACAGCAGGGGACAGGGAGGGTGGTAAATGAGAGACAGACATGTCGACTGCCTCCACTCTCAGAGACGCCCTAGCACCTGGACAACGTGCATACTGAACATGACAGCCGCTGCTGGTGATGGTGGCCTCAGCTCAGGCCCTTGTGGCCAAATACAGCTGACAGCAAATAGAGGGCCCAAACCTATGGTCCCCATCCTTCACGGTTCTTGTGGAACCTGTCGCAGACAGAAGGCTGTCACAGTCCAGTAATGTAGCCTCCCGCTCTTCCTACCATATGAACGTAACATGACAGCAGATGATAAACATTCCCTACAGATGCCACTGAGATTGCTTCAGACCCTAGAGAGACTCCCTTTCTTCAGAAAGCCTGGGCACAACTGTTTTCCAGCCAGTTAACACAAGTCGCAGAAGCCTGGGGATGAGTGCTAAGCATGAGGATTCGAGGGAGGGCGAAATTGTCCCAGGCAAAATGAGATGCAATCGCGCCCCCACACTCATTTCTGACCTCCCGTTCGGGGGGGGCATTAATCAGCACATCTTTGTTCTAATTTTTCAGCAGGCTGCTGTAGTCACGACCTCTGAGTCCAGGGCCCAGATGTTTATGCAAATTGCTGGCAGAAACATCTCAAAGACACTCAAGATGAGAGGCCTTAGTCATAAGATGGGTCATTCTGGTATCAGCTCACCACTCTATTTCCGACGGGGAAGTAGGCTACTTTGTTCTAACAGCGGAAGGAAAGTGGTGGCGTTTCTGGAACATTCTGGCAGGGCAGGGCAGAGAGCGGCAGCACAGTGCCATTAGCAGGTCTGAGACATGGTCCATCATCGCCAACTCTGCCATTTTGCCTCTCTGACAAAGGGAAGACAATCTAGGTTTTTTGATGGCTGGAAAGACTAAATGAAATAATGTGAACCATTAGGAAAGGCCTCAGGTTCTCAGTAGGTGTTCAAAACAACAGGAAATGTGGCTGTCAACAGAGACATCTACAGGGGTTATTTTATTTTTGAGTTTTGTGTGTGTGCATGTGTGTGTGTGTGTGTGTGTGTGTGTGTGCCCTATGTATGAGCACACACGCACATGAATACAGGTGCCCATGGAGCCCAGAAGAAAGCATAAGATTCTAAGATCCTTTAACAGGAATCACATAGTAACCCAGCAGATATGGCAGCTGGGAACTAAACTCTCTTCCTATACAAGACCAACAAGCACTCCTAACATCTAAGCTATCTCGCCAGCCCCTGTGGATAATGACTTTTCTTCTTTTTTTTCTCATTTATTTATTTTATTTACTTTACATCCCTGTAGCCCCTTCCCTCCTTCCCTCCCAGTCCCATCCTCTTTCCCTTCTTCCCTCCCCACTTCCTCAGAAAAGGGGAGCTCTCTTTCCCATCCCCCAGCTCATCAAGTTTCACCAGGACTGAATTCCCCTGTGGCCTGTCAAGGCAGTCTTGCCAGGGGAAAGTGAGCTAAAATCTGGTAAGTGAGTCCATGTCCAAGGCAGTCCCCACTTCCCTTACTAGAGGACCTTTGCTTAGAAGCCTAAGCCACCCATCTGCTGCATCTTTGTAGGGAGCCTAGGTCCAGTCCACGCATGGTCCTTGCTTGGTGCTTCAGTTGGATAACAACTTTTAAATTCGCTGGTTATAAATAAATGAGTCAGCTAGGAATGCTAAGGAAAATACTTTGGCCTTTGTCATCTTCAAAAATCACAGGAATTGACAGAGCTCTAAAGACCAAGGCATATAGGAAGGGGCTTTGGAATAGCCCATGATGGCACTTGATACTGACGTGAATAAGGCAGAAAACAAACAGCTAGTCTGACAGTCTCCGGTTTACAAAACACAGACATGGTCTGCTCACTACATGATACCTGCAGCTATCATATAGCAAGATCATATATTCAACATATTTTGGATGCACAGTGCTATAGACAGACACAGACACACACACAACACACCCTGTGTGGTACCTGAAGGCTGGAACAGAAGAGTCACTTGAGTCCCCAAACTGAAAATCAACGTGGGCAGCATGAAGATGCCCACCTCAGAAACACTTAATTTAGTTTAGAATATTGTTTCCATTTATATACATTTTAAAAAGACCAACTGCTTTTCAAATTCTGCCTGTTTTATAAAAAATTCTTTACTAAACTGAAATCATTATTAATTTTGTCTTTAAAGTTATAGCTTCAAATAGAACAGAACCTAGAAGGGCCATTGAAAATTAAGAAAGCTGTGAGTCAGAAAATGAGCAGACAATCTACCATCCACATAATGATAATGGAAATCCCTGGGAGACCTTGTCTAACCCAAGCA